AAAAGAAAGAGAAGGGCACAGCCTTAGATATCGCCAGGGAGTCCCCCAGATTCCCCACGACACCCCACATGCAGCCCCAAGAGAGCCCCCAGATGCCCCTCGTCCCTGCATTCATCCCCATTGCTCCACTTGACCCCACGCGTACCCCCAGGGACATCACATTGTATAAATGCATCGAAAATCAAAGGTTTACACATGTTCGGCGGGCTCATCTTTCCCGTACTAGCGCCAAAGTCAGCCCAAGGAAACGCGACGGCATCCCAAGACCAGCAGCATACGGCCAGCAACATACGGGCTCGACATTTCGTCGATGTTCCATATTCAGTGATCTCCCCGAGAAGCCCGCAAGCCAAGACCTGCGTGTCGTGACAACGATCTGGCAACCTTGAGCGACGCCGCTGGGGCCAAAGACACCTGTCCTCCCAAGACAGCGCCAGAACAGCCCCAAAGCCAGTCCAAGGAAGCCCTGCGACATCCTTTGACCGGCCCAAGACGGCCGCAACCCCCCTCTGACAGCGAGTCGTCCCCCCAGGACTGCCCAACGACTCCCCCCGACGACCCCGCCCCCCCCCTTCGTGTCATCACAGTGCCATGGACTGCGCCAGAACCGCGCTAAAACCGAAATGCGCGCAAAGCGCGACCGTGGTTCTAGTTTGACTAGGTTTAGCCGCTGGTATCGGATATCCTTGACTGCAGCTGTGGTGCGATTCATCAACTTGCACGTTGGCCCAAAAGGAACATATGCTTACCTTTCTGATGCGCGTCCTCCCTCGGCTGTTACCAGAGATTGCCCTTGCCCACGGTGTCCCCAGCATTTCTTGGAGGCCCCCCGGCGGCTTCCAGAGTGTCCCCTCGCGATGCCCATCAGGGGGGGGCACAAGGGACTCCAGAGCAGTGCCGAAAACTGAGGAGACACCTTGGGGGCAGGAGCTCCTTCCCTGACATCCCCCGATCTGTTTTTTCAGTCCGTGCCCCCTCCGACCCCTCCCCTGGCGGTCGATTCCTCCGCCCCAGATCCACATTTGACGTTGCGGGGCCCGATCACGGGCCACAGAGGCCGCATTCGAGGAAGCTCTGCGGGGTTGGATACACCAGATCGTCGCAGACTTGGGACCCCTTGTCTTTCCCTTGTGCGCTCCCCCCGGCTGCTCCGCTCCTCATGGTCCCGGCTCCCCCCTTCGCGCCGCAGCCCTGCCCCCGAACGCAGCTCGCGATCGACTGCACGGCCCGCCGTGGTGGAGGACCATCCCGCGGGGGGGGGGGGGAGAAGAGGTGTGCTGACGGTGGTGGTGGTGATGGTGACGACGATGATGGCGATGGGGCGTAACAGGGGGAGGAGGAGGAGGAGGAGGAGGAGGAGGAGGAGGAGGAGGAGGAGAGGGAGGAGGGAGGAGCAGGAGGAGGAGGAGGAGGAGGAGGAGGAGAGGAGCAGGAGGAGGAGGAGGAGCAGGAGGAGGAGGAGGAGGAGGAGGAGGAGGAGGAGGAGGAGGAGGAGGAGGAGGGGGGGAGAGGGATGAGGAGGACGCCGAGGCGGATCATGAATGGGGAGGAGGAGGAGGAGGAAGAGGAGAGACGAGCAGGGGGAGCAAGGGGAGGAGGATGAGGGGCACGAGGAGGGACCCGCAGCACGTGGTGACCACTGACCATCGACGACGGGGATGCACAACAAGCCCATTGGATACGAAACCAGCCTGGTACCCCACGGAAATTTCCCATCCCCCATGGCGCTTGCGATTCACAGGAGGCCTGGGGCAGCTCACGAGGCTCACGCTTCCATGACATCAAACAGGAGGCAAGCTGGGCCATGATGCGCCTGGCCTCCCTCCTCAGCGCGGGCACCCGGATGGAGTGTCTGGGTCCAGCCCCCCGCAGGCTCCTGCTCCTCAGGGGCAAGGGCAGGGGGGAACAGGCGTAGGGGGACCGACAGGTGTCCGGTGGCCCCACCGCGCCCACTAGCGTGCGGTTTCGCCATCCGGGGCCCACCGCCGATCTATCGGCGACGTGCCGCCGGTATTCCAGGTCGATGACCCCCCCCCCCGTGCGCCGCCAGGAGGAGGAGGAGGAGGAGGAGGAGGAGGGGGAGGAGAAGGGGAGGAGGAGGGAGGAGGAGGAGGAGGAGGGGGAGGAGGAGGAGGAGGAGGAGGAGGAGGAGGAGGAGGAAGAGGAGGGGGAGGAGGAGGAGAGGAAGAGGAGGAGGTGCCCCCCTCACGCTTCCCCGCCAACGCGGGGGTCGCGGGCTCCTCCTGAGGATCGAGGTTCGGGGCGCAGGGGTCGGGGACGTCTTCTCGGATCTCCCGGGGAGCGCCTCGGGGGTCCGAGGGTCCACCTCCTCGAGAGGGTGGCGGCCTCCCTGAGCCCCCGAGGGCCTAGCGGCTTCTCGCCAGTGGACGTGTTGGGATCGGGCCGCAGGAGTCGAGGTGAATGCCAGAGTTGCGGAAGTCGATTAATAGAGAGGAAGCCTGCTGCCAAATAATTTCCAGATGTCTAAAGATGTTTCAATTATGTTTTAAGTATGCAGCAATCATGCTTGAAACATTGTAGAACATGGTTTTACACATTTTATACAGATCTTTAATTCTACGATCGGATTGATAGAGTGTCCATTGTCATGGCATCCACAATGCCAGTCTGCAGGGGAATCTCGAGCACAGCCGCTCCCGCGCGAGCCGAGGCGCGGCAGGAGCCACTCCTCTTCTTTTCTGGCCCTCCTCGCCTCGCTCGTCCCGCGCTCGTGTGCCCAGGTTGGCCCCCGTGTGCCAGTCTCGCTTCGCCGGAGGAGGAGGAGGAGGAGGAGGAGGAGGAGGAGGAGGAGGAGGAGGAGGAGGAGGAGGAGGAGGAGGAGGAGGAGGAGGAGGAGATTAAGCCCTTCACGGCTGGCGGTGGCCCCTGGAAGCCGGCGGGCGGCCCTCTGCCTCCGCGCTGCACCGGCGCCCCGCCCCGCCGCGTCAGGCGTGCAGCCCCGAGGGCGGCGAGGCACCGCTGGGCGCGCCGCGTGCCCGCGCTGCCCTTGCGCCTGCTGCCCTGCTCCTGCGCGTCCTTGGCGTCCTCCTGGGCCTCCGGCGATGGCCACGGTGGCTCGCGGGAGCCCGCCTGTGACAGGTCGGCGCGGGTAGCGTTCCTCAGAGGAGGAAGCGGTGCCCATACCGCTGCCCTTCGGCCGTCTTCCCACGCTTCGCCCTCCTGGGAGGCCCTCGTCGCCCCCGCTGGATTCGCCTCGAGTCCGAGTCAGAGCGCACCCCAGGCGAGGTCTGGGGAGTAGCGGCATCGGCACCCGTGTGGTCTCCCCAGTTCTGGTTTGCTGGCGGCCGCCTGTTTCGCACCACTGCGCCAGTCGCGCCGTGGTGAGGTTCCGTGGGGTCGCGCGCTCCTTGTCCTGGCATCGCTCGGACGTGTGCATGTTTTCCTCGGCGAGGAGCATCGAGGAACATCCTGGAGCATCGTGCGAAACATACACGCACGAAACCGAACAGTGCACGGGGAATGGACGTCCGAGCGATGGCGAGTTGTGCTCCCCGCATCCAGGGCGATCTGATTGTCCCAGTATCCCGGCAACTTTTTTTTCTCGAGGTCGGCCTCTGGGGCCCGTTGCTGGGCCCCGGGGCCGTCAGACCTGGGCCTGGGGCGCAGAGCTGCCCCCAGGGAAGGGGGTCGGGAGCTCTTCGGGGGCGGCAGAGAGGGGGGTGGTGACTGGGGGGAGGGGGTGGATCTCATGGCGGGGGCCATGGTGTCTCCCCAGATTTCATGGGGCCTCTTCTTGTTTCAGTGCGTCCCCGGTCGTCCCCTGGGCCGCGCACGTGCCCCTGGCCATGATTTGCGCCCCCCCCCCCCCCCTCTTTGACGCCCCCCTCTTGTGGCCGCTCCCGAGCTCTGGGTCTGCGGATTGAACAAATCATTTCCGAGAAAGATGTTCTCGGAGGGTCTGAGCGTTTTCTGCGCCGCCTCCCGTGACAGCCTCGCGTGGTGAGGAAATCACGGCGGAGCGTTTTTGGCCGTTCTGTGCCTCCGGGGGCCTTCACCGGGCCCCGAGGTTGTCAACGAACGAGTCAGGACGACGAGCCAGTCCCCAGGAAGGGGTCCAGATCTCTGAGGAGCTTCGTTGCGAAACAAAATCGGACTTCGGATGCCTGGGAAAGTCTGGACATCTTTGGGCCTTCTCGTCGCTACATGCAAAGTTCCTTCGAGATTCTGGTTCACACGCACCTCATGACGGGTCGGGGGGTGGGTCTTGAACCTCCAGACACATGCACCCTCACGTCGCGAAAAAAAAGAACTGGCGGAAGGTTTGTTGTATTTTTTGGCATCTGGTGGTCCCTTGCGGGGCCTGGGGCAAACCAGCCTGGGATGAGAAATTGTCCCCCCTGAAAGGGGCCAGGACCTCGGGGGGTCCGCATTGCGTCAGAATCATTGTTGCGAATGTATAACGACATCGACGCGGGTAAGGTGCCCGCGACGAGCCACCAATAAAAGTTGAAGTCGAAAAGGACGACAGCTGTAGTAGAGACGGAAGGGTGGAGCCAGGACTGGAGAGACAGCAGACAGCAAACCCAAGGCAGTACCGATCACTCGAGGCATCATGCCAGCAGCTCTGTTTTACAGCCATACACCACCTGGGGGGAAGGGCGGCTTTGTATTTGTTGTTGTAGCATTATGCTGTTTACGGAAGCCCATCTCCTGGCAGCTGGCATCAACGCGCGTGGACCGAGGCAGCGGATCTCTGGTGGTGGGATGGTGGGATGGTGATTGGATGGCGGTGTGGTGGTTGTGTTTGTGGTATCTGTGGTGGTGGCGGCAGCGGTGGTGGTCGTCCCTCCTCCTCGCTCTTCGCCGTCCCCTCGCCACAGCGCTGGACCTCGCCATCGCCCCCCCTCACCTCTTCCTTTCCGCTCCCCGCCCGCTCCCCCTCCCCCCTTTTCACGGCTCGCCCCGCGTGCTCCTCTCTCTCTCTCTGCCGTTGCCCGACCCAGGCCTTCTCCGTGCCCCATCGTCGATCCTCCCTGGCGTTGGCTCCAGCGCTCCTTCAGCCAGGTTTTTTGTCGTTGAGGTATACAGCTGCATAGCAATACGGGGCGAGCCATGCAGGCTCTCGCGCTCTTCTTCCTGATGTGGTTCACGGGATCGCCCTGCGGACGTGGCGCGAGGGTGGGTTCGGCCGATCTGAGTGCGTCCGGCTTAGACGGGACGGGGGACGAGCTTGGTGAGATCGGCATCGCGCAGAGCGCGCTTCAGATGGCATCCGGCAATACGAGCGTCGCCGCTCAGTCTGAGGATGATCCAGCCGCATCCCAGGACCCATCTGGCACGGCGCTCCCGAACAATTTGCTGGGCTCGTGCCCCAAGGACTCCAACGGCATGGACATCGATGGCCAGTACTGCGACTCCGAGCAGCTCACGAAGTGCTGCGCGTCGAAGTGCCGATACCGGACGACAGTGAGGCAGTCGACGTTCGGGTCCTCCGCCCCCGTCGAGGTGCCCAAGGTAGGAGGGGGTCGAGAAGATGAGGAAATGATGATGAGAAGGGGAAGGGCTCGCCCTGAGCATGCCGCGGGGGGCTTTTCCGATGCCCAACGCTGCCCGTTCTGCGAAGCCATGATGCGCCCGCTTAGTTGGATCCGCCAGGGCCCACGAGCCCACGAAATCTGCAGACCTGAAGTGCCTTCCTTGAAGGCTAAGTTAGCAACGAAGAAGTCCAGATGGGGGCCAGGAACACGTCCACAATACTATGTTACCCTGTAACGCCCGGCGCGGGGGTAGAAACCAATTTGATCAAAGCTACGATTTGGAGCGTTGTGATGTCTGCTGCTTTCCCTCTCGCGTCCTACCCCAGCCTCTTCCCTGCTTCTTTCGTCCCGCCTGCTTCCTCCTCTTGCTATGTTATTTGTGTTGACGTGTCCCTCCTCATCCTCCTTGTCGTCCTCGCTGTCTTCCGCATGCCCTGCTCCTGCTTCTGATCCATGGATCCTTCTCCTTGGACTCCTCCTCCTCCTCCTCCTCCTCCTCCTCCCTCCTCCCTCCACCTCCTCCTCGTGCTCCTCCTCTCCTGCTCCTCCCCCTTCCCTTCCTCGGCCTCCGAGCGCCTCCCAGCGCCACGGCCCGCGAGCGCCCCGCTCCGCTCCCCCGCCCCGCTCTCTCCCCGCCCCGCTCTCTCCGCCCCGCTCTCTCCGCGCCCCGGGCTCCGCGGGGCGCCGGGCGGTCGCGCAGGGCAGGCGGCGGGGGCAGCGGCGGGCCGGCGCGGCGGCGGGCTGGGCAGGTCGGGCCGCTCGGCGGGTATTGCGGGCTGGCGGGGCCGGCTGGGCGCACTCAGGGCTGAGCCTGAGCGGTGTTTGTCGTCTCCGCTTTGGTTTCGCTTTCCCCCTCGTTTTGCCCTCAGCCCACCTCTGCCGCAAAAAACGAGGGCGAGACGAGAAGCGGCCCACGGCACCGTTGAGGTCCAGCCCTGGGCTGGCTCGTGTGCTGGCTGGGGCAGCTGGTTTGTGACAGGATCGCCCTGGGGTCCCCCGAGCGCGCTCGGGGCGCCCGCCCGGGAGGCCAGTCCCCACGGTGCGGTGTTGCCCCCCGCGCGCTCGGAGCGCCCGGCCGGGCGGCCCTGTCCCCCGCGGTGCGGTGCGGTGTGGCTCCCCGGGGCCGTGCTCGGCCGACCGTGCTCGGGGCGCCCGCCCAGGGGGGCCAGGCCCACACAGTATGGCGCGATGTGCCCCCCCCCCCCCCCCCCCCTGGACCGTCTTTCCGGCACGAACGAAATGGGGAATCACGGAAAGGGTGGGTACGATGCCCAACAGCAGTTTGTGTTCATTTTGAACAGGGCTCGCTGTCCGCGCGGCCGCCTGCTGTGTCCATTTGAGACAGAAGGTCGCCTGTCCAACAGCGGCCGCTGTTGGTTCGCGACAACAGATGTTGTTTGGCATTGTACCCGATTTTTCCGTACCCATCTTGGGCGTCCAAATCTTTGGGGCGCCCGCTGGGGAGGTCGGTCCACCACGGTATGGTGCGATTTGGCCCCTCCCGGCCGCCAGCCTGGTCCCCAGAGGGCGGTTCACAGCCACATTCTCGCTGGTAAGATGCACTCCCCCCCCAACAAAAATAGTGACGGAGGTCAGGCGGCGGGGGTAGGCGGGTTGGTGTGGTGGCGGGTTGGGGAGGTTGGGCTGCTTGGCTGGTTTGTGGGTTGGTGGTTGGGCTGGCTGGGCTGGCTGGTGTGATGGCTACGGGCTTGGGGCTTGGGGCTAGGGACTTGGCCAATTGGTTTCGATGTTTGTCCACCACGGCCCAAACACATGTATGCATAGATGAACGAAAACCACATGAGTAGATACATCAATGAATAAACCGGTAAGTAAGTAAATGAATGAATATAACAGATTTTTTATACATAAATAAGTACAACCAGAAGTATGCATACGCTATAGGTATACATATGTATGCCGGGGGTTCCCGGCCAGGCCCCAGGCACACAGGCCAACTATTTGGGGTACGGTTTTATTACCGCCCTCCCGGGCGTCCAAGGCGGCCCCAGAAGGCAGCAAAAGGCAAAAGAGTTCCCGAAGATCTCCCCAGGACGGGCCAAGAACGCCTACGATGGCCCCAAGACAGCCCAATGGCGCCCTATTGGAGATCCAAATGCCTCAACGTAAGAACCCAAGATGGATTTGAAGTCTCCCTGGGGCTTCCCAAGGACGCCCCCCGAGGGCTTAAAGAAGTAAACAAGCATTGTGGGTGTTTTCAGTGTTTGTGACTCGCTCGTCTTTTTGGTTATGATGGGGTCTTGGGGGCCTGCAGCTGTCTCCAAGTTCGCCCAGCAAATTTCCAGGATAGGCCCAACACGGGCTCAAGACGCTTCAGGAGGACTGCAAGATGGCCCCAGGACGGCCCACAACCCTCCAAGGGGCGCCAAGAGAGCCCGAGGAGAGCCCCAAGAGGCCCCCAAGATGCCCCTCGAACGCTTCCCGAGCGGCACTTCGATCGCTTTCGGCGCCAATCTGGCTCCATGAGCACCCCAGAGGCCCCCAAGAGGCTCCCAAGAGGCTCCCAAGAGGCCCCAACAATGCTTCCAAGGGCCCCCCACGAGGCTCCCAAGATGCCCCCAATGAACGCCCAAGTTTCCCCCGATCGGCCCCCGAGAGACTACTTCCATTCCGGAAGGCATACAAACAGCCTCATCCTCGCTCCTCTTCTTCTTCCTTCTTCTCCGCCTTCTCATCATCCTTCTTTCGTGCTTGCAGAGGTCTGGATGCGGAGTGAAACTGCCTTTTGAAGGCCACCCAGGCTTAGGGGCCAATTGTCTAGAGCGATGCGTTGACCGTCGCATTCGTCCTCTCCCCTCTCCTTGCCATTCTCCTCTCTCATCCTCCTGCCCTCCCCTCTCGATGCTCCTTGAGAGGCATTGGGAATCATGTAGCGTCGTTCCCCCCACACTCCCTCCTCCTCCTCCTCCTCCTCCTCCTCCTCCTCCTCGGCATCATGATGTTGTTCATCATCATCATCATCGTCGTCGTCGTCGTCATCATCATCGTCATCATCATCATCATCATCATCATCATCATCGTTGTCGTCATCATCATCGTCATCGTCATCATCATCAGCATCGTCGTCGTCATCATCATCATCAGCGTCGTCGTCATCATCATCACCATCATCATCATCATCATCATCATCATCATCATCATCATCATCATCATCATCGTCATCATCATCATCATTCTCTGCATCTGCCTCCTCCCTTCTGTTCTCCCCAGCCGCAGCTGGTATCGGCCCCACCGCCGTGCACTTATTCCTCGTTGCGTGGCCGCCACTGGCGCAGGGAGGCGCCACCTCGGTGAGCTGATTTGCTGCTCCGCCCTTTGCAAGCAGTGGCGAAGCGTCCTGGCTCGCCTATAGGCCTACCAGAATGTTCTGAGAACCGTTTGTGGTCTTCACGACATTTTCTTAGGACGGTTCTGGCTGAGACTGTCCTGTTTTAACACATCGGGCTTATGTTCTAAGAACATTGTTTTTGTTCTTGGAACATTTAGGGCTTCTAAAAACATTGCGTGGTAGGCCTATAGGATTGTCGGGACGGTCGCTCCCTGCTCAACCTTTGCTCCCTGTTTGTTTGTCTGGTCCGATCCTCGGGTTCGACTCCATGGATCTTAGGTGGCTTCGCGCAGGTGCCCCTGATCGCGTATCCATGGGGTCGCGCCTCGGTAACAAACCGCGAAGGCAAGGATATGGACAGGTTCGTCGTTCGCGACTGTCGCGGAGGGGGTGGAGGAGGGATATAGGGTCGGCGGCTCCCAGCCAGCTGCCTCGACTCGCCATTCGGGCTACGGGCCTCCGGAACCTCTCCCCAACGGCCCCAGAGGCGTCCCAGATTGCTCCCCGACGGGCCACGAGAGCGCCAAGAGGCCTCCATGACAATCCAAGAACGCCCCGAATCGCTAACAGAGGCGCTTCACACGCACCAGATGGCCTACTGACGGCCGAACAGGCCTCCAAGACACACCAATATGCCTCCACGAGCACTCCCACGAGTTCCTCAGGAAACGAACATCCTTGATTTATCTTAGTCTTTATCGAGTGTTTCACATATATCTATATCATGCACACCTGCATACATACATACATACATACATACATACATACATGCATGCATACTTTTTTGATCCGCGGGTCGAGAGCGCACCTCTTCTGGTCGAAGCTAAGCGGGCCGCGCACAGCTTTAGTTGACAGAGGGGAGAAGGCAGAAGGAGGGGCCTCACGTCACGGCCAAGGGAGGGCAGAGTCCCGGAATCAGGCGGTGCCGAAGACGATGTGCTTGCAAAGGGACGCCTTGTACAGGAACCCGGAGGCGAAGTACCAGAAGAAGTAAAATGCTGTGGTGGTGGTGCCGTCAGCGGCGCGTCATGTACACCAGCCTCAAGTGGCCGCGGGAGAGGACGCACCACGTATCCAGGGCGACGCCCGAGAGGGTGAGGAGCACCGCTGGGCCGTAGTGTCACGTTGCGCCACCGAACAGGATGCAGGAGAGGCCCAGGCCGTGGTTGTCCAAGGTGCCACGCCACATGCGTGCATACATACATACTCTATAGACATATATTTTCGTACGTGCGTACATATCTGCATACACATACGCTGACATATAGCACGTGCATGCATGCATGCATGCATGCATGTAGGTATACTAGCACACAGTCATACACGTACATGCACATACATACGCACATACATACATACATACAGACATACATACATATTTACATACGTACATGCATGCATGCATGCATGCACACGTGCGTGCATGCATACAAATATACAAACATACATCCGTGCATGCATACATACATGTACACATACACGCATATATAAACTTTTCATACACATACCCATACACACATTCATACATGCGCGCGCACATACATATATTCATGCAAACATGCATGTATACAGACATGCGTTCCCGCCTACATGCATAATCACCTGCACACATCCATATTTATGCACACACGCACATACACTCACACATTTACATACATGCATCCGCACACATCTACAACCTTATATGTAGGCATACGTACATGCATACATGCATGTGTGCAGGACTGTGTGAATGTGTACTTGCATGCGAGCGTACATGAATATGTACATGTATGCATGTATGCATGAAACCATACATGCGTACACACATGCATACGTACACACCTTTATATTCGCATGTATGCAACCATACATACATTTATGTACATCTGCAAACATAAGCAACACATATGGCTGCCGAGGTGTACTCTTTTAGAGTGTCCCAAGTGCACAACGAAGAACTGTACAGTACAATATGGATCATGCCGACAGGGCGTGTCCAATTCTTGTGTCGGTTGCCGTGAGCTCTGTACCGCGTGCAAGGGGGTGGCTGTGACCCTCCTGGCGACTGGTTGTAGCCGCCATGCCACCGTGCCTCTGGGCACGGAGTGGACGTGTCCTCAAATCCTTTTTGCCCAATCCCTTGAGCCTGGGCTTCGGTCCTCAGTCCTGAGGAGTCAAAGGGGTCCGGAGCCAAACTTGCCACATGTGGCGGGGTTTGCCGCGGTTCCTGTGGGGTTCCCGGCGCGGTGGCGCGTGATTTCTTCAAGCCCAGGAGGGCCCCAAGACAGGCCAAGTGGGCTCCAAGAGGCCGCCAAGACGGTCCAAGAGAGCTCCGAGTCGCCGGAAGATCGCTCCAAGACGCTCAAGATGGGCCCCAGACAGCCCAAGAGGCCGCCAAGACGCCCCAAGAGGCCTCCAAGAGACATCCCGAGAGAGCCCCAAGATGCCAAAATCATTATTTTTCATTTGTTTTTTCAAGGCTTTTGGGCTTCTCGCCTTTTCGGCTTGTCGACGCTTCAAGACGGCCAAAGAGGCCCTCAAGATCGCTCCAAGACGGCCCAAAAGGCCCCCAATAGAGCCACAGGACGGCCCAAGAGGGCCCCAACACGGCCTATGAGAGAGCGCCGCAAGACAGCCCAAGAAAGCTCCAAGATGGCCCTCCCACTGCCCAATAGGCCCCCAAGACGACCCAAGCAATCTCCAAGAGCAGCCCTACGAGAGCCCCAAGAAACGACACAAGTTTTCTGTCCTGGGCTGTTCTTTACACTTGTCACCATTCTGCCTTGCCGGCTTCCGCATCATCTGCACGGGAGCCTGCGCATCATCTGGGGAAGCAAGTTATCGGCCACGCGGCCGGGACAGGCTTGCTATTAGGGGCCGAGCTTCGTGACGCGTCTTTTGGTTGGCTCGGCAGCCGAGGGTGGATGCACAGCAGTTTCTGCTTGGCGGAGTCTCCTTCCCGTCAGTGGAGAAGCCTGCAGTTTTCATCGCTCTTGGGGGAAAAAAAAATCTGCCTTGCCGGCTTCTTCATGCTCTCGGGAGGCTTATGATGCCCTGGGATGGACCAAGACCGCCTCAGACGCCCCCACGAAGGTGCCAATACCGCCCAGGAGGCCTCTTGGGCCCCAGGAGGGGCCTCCCTGAGGCCCCCTTCGGGACCCCCTCGGGCTCCCCCTACCGCGGCGTGGGGGCGCTCCGGAGGGCTCCAGTAGTAGTGGCGATGCAGTCACGCGCGAGTGCGCGCGCGTGAAGGACCTTTCCATGCTCTCGGGGGCCCTCCAGGGCCCTTTTCAGGCCCTCCTGGCCCTCCTGGAGCCTCTCCCAGCCGTTCTGGGGGCCTTCCAGCGCGGCCTGGGAGGGCTCCCAGAAGGCTTCCACAGCAGTGCCAGTTTCCGAACGCGAGAGAGCGCTCGCATGACTCAGCGACCCTTGCTCTCGAGGGGCGTCCGGAGCTCTCTTCGGGTTCTCCTGGAGCCCTTCCGAGATCCTCTTCGGGCCCCGCAGCGCCGCCTCGGAGGGCTCCCAGAGGGCTCCAAGTGGCAGCGCAAGTCAAGTCACTCGAGAGAGCACTCGCGTGACGGCGACGACGATGGTGATCATGGTGGTGATGACGACGATGATGGTGATGATGACGACGATGTTGGTTGTACAGATGATTCTGATGCTGATGGAGATGATGATGCTGATGCTGCTGATGATGATGGTGCTGGTGGTGATGATGATGATGATGATGATGATGATGTTTGCGACGATTGTTCTCAATAGTATGATTGATGGTTATGATGAGGGTCACGATGTTCTGAACGGCGTCGGTGACGAATATGGTGACGATCATGCTCTTGACACTGATCATGATTATGACTCCTTCTGCTCTTCGATCCAGCGGCCGCACTCGCTTGTGGACCCCCCTTCCCCCGGCATGCCCGCGTGATGGTTCAAGGGTGTGTATATGTATTTGTGTATATATAGATATGTACATAGATGTATATCTATACATATATACGAGCGCGTTCCACTACTTGCAAAGTGCCTACTCGCAAACGCCCGAAAAGCATGAGCTTGTTTCGACGAAATTTGCCGTAGATCCCCCGCGGCGGATCCAGGCCATTTGCGAGTAGTTACTTTGCGAGTAGTAGAACGCGCTCGTCTAATATAAGCATGTATACACGTCACCTGTCGCACAGCGAACTGACTTATACAGTACGTTGTCCTGCGGTGGTACTGTGAAGCCCCATGGGACAGGGCCCATCTCGTGGGCGGGCCTCTCCTCAGGCCGTCGCGGATAAGCTCCTCGAGGAGGGTCTGCACCCGTCGGTCGCCTGCTGCCGCCTGAACGTCTACCTGTCGCCCGACGGGGCCTGGAGCTGCAGGAGAGGGATCGTCGGAATGCCAGGCGAACGCCGTAAGTCAGCAATTTTGGAGGTCCGCGCGGCTTTCTCGGGTCACCGCTGGACCCTCTCCACGCCACCGTGACGGCTTCCAGGGGCGCCGACCCTGGCGCGCCTCGCGCGCTGGGGAGCGGGTGTAGGAGAGGGGGAGGTCCAGCGCCGACCCGACCCAAGAATTCCGCGCGGCCTCCGAAAGGTAGGGTCCCTGAAGGAAAGAGGCCATGTCGCTCAACGAGGAGATCGAGCAGATCTCCCGTGGGCCTCTGGCGCACCGGTGGGAGAGCTTCGCCAGGGCCGTGATGAGCATGTACAACAGTGTCTCGAAGCTCGAGTCCAGATTCGAGTGGCAGCCCGTGCTGAATAAGGCGCCCCTGACCAAGGGTGAGATAAAGGCCAAGCCGCTTGTGATGATGATCGGCGGCTACTCGACTGGTAAGACAACATTTATCAAGAGCCTGCTCGGCAAGGAGTACCGCGGCTCGCACATTGGGGTGGAGCCAACGACAGACACATTCACATACGTGGCATATGGGAAAGAGGAGAGAATCACTCCTGGCGAGATTGTATCCGTGGACAGTGAGAAGGGCTTTGAAGGGTTGGCGCAGTTTGGGAATGGCTTCTTGCACAGCTTCCGGGAGAGCAGAGTGGACAGTGAGGTTCTGAACAATTTTGCGATATTGGATACGCCTGGCGTCCTCTCGGGCGAGAAGCAGAACAGCCGCGACTATGACTTCGAGAAAGTCATCGCCTGGTTCGCCGACAGGGCCGACATGATCTTCCTCGCTTTCGACATCCACAAGATCGACATCTCGGACGAGCTGAAGAGCGTCATCCGGTGCGTCGGGTCGAACCAGCACAAGTTCCGCATCCTGCTGAACAAGGCGCCGAGCGACGCCCAAACTGCCCCCTGGCCGCTCCTGGCGCCCCTGGCGCGCCCTCCCGAGGCCCACGCCGTCGAGGCCGCTCGGAGCGCCGACCTCTGGGCCCCGGGAGGGGCCCCGCCGGGCTCTCCCGCGTGGGCGCGTCGGCGTCGCCCGCGGGGGCGCGAAGGACCGTCGCGCTTCGCGCTGTCGCGCGTCGCGCTTTTGCGGCCCGGGCCGCAGAGCTGCCCCTCTCGCGGGCGGGGCGGCGCGGTTGCGCAAAGATGACCGCGCGTCCCGCCCCGCGGGGCACGGGGCGCGGGGCCTGGTGACGCAGGTGATCTGCCCGCGCCCTCCTGCCTCCCGAGGCAAGGGTTCACGCCTCTCCACGGCCAGGGGAGTCGCCGTCCCCGAACGCCGGGAGGGGGCAGTGTTGTGTCACCCGCTTTTGTCTCGTCCGTTTTTGTTTCGTGCGCCTTCTGTTTCGCCCGCTTTTGTTTTGTACGATTTTGTTTCCTCCGCTCTTTGTTTCGTCCGCCTCTTGTTTCGTGCGCTTTGGTTTCGCTCGCTTGGATTTCCCTTTTTGCTTCGTTCCCCTTTTGTTTCGTCTGCCGTTTGTTCAGCCTGCCTTTAGTTTCGTCCACTTCGCTTTCGTTCGCTGTGATTTCTTTCGCCTTGTGTGTCGTCCGCCTTTGTGAAATCCGCTCTGGTTTGGCCCGCGTTCCCTGCGTTTTTCCTGTTTCGGTCATGGGAGCCGGAGAGAGCGAATTGAAGCCAGACGCGTCAAAGCCAGGCGAATTTATACTGGTTGAGTGTCAACTAGGCGAATGACAATTGGACGGTTTAAACCAGGGCGGCTGAACACCGAACGAATTTGAAGCGGGCGAGTTTTGAGCGGGCGAAGTAAAGCCGAATGAGTTTCAATCGGTCGAGCTAAAGCTGGACGAATCAAAGCGGGGCGAGTTCAGTCTGGGCGAACTAGATCCGGTCGACTTAGCATGAACATAGCAACCCGGTCAAACTTCAACCGGAGTCAGTTCGATGTGGGTGATGACAAGCGGGATGGATCGAAAGTGGGAGCGACGGGTGGGTCTGCGATTCACAGCGTGATTCGGCATCTGCAGAGGGCTCAACTCGCAGACGCAGATAGATACGCAAGCAGGACGAGGCAAACCCAAGGCAATTCCCATCGATGCTCGTTCGCATTTTGACAGCCAGCGTGGGCCTCAAACAGTACGTTTCTAACAATACCTCGTATGCAAATATGAATGTCGAGCACCTATAGTGTCCACTAAATGGAGATATATGTCAAGAGCATAAACAACGCCCCTACCCTGGTTTACAAGGCGCTGTGCGCTGAAACTCCTGTGGGCTGACAGGGTAAACCCTGCGTGATGTGGATGTGCCGCGTCCTGGCGGCTCTAGGCTGTTGGGTTCCCAGGAGGTTTACAGACCACGCACTTGTAACCCAGGGTAGGGCCGTTTTTTCATCCTTCAAATATGTGGTGCAGCCGACGAAACTTATATAGGGCAATCGACGTGATTCAATCTACGTGCTGCGATATATGTTGTGCTATCTTTAGTGTGCAGTCTATGTGGTGCAATCTGTATGGTGCAGTCGATGTGGTGCAATGTATTGGTGCAGTCTCTGCTGTGCAATCCACTCTGCTGAACTTGAAGTCGTCATCTCCACTGCTCGCGCAAACATCCCACCCACCCACCCGCAACTTGTTTTGCAAAACCTGTTAAGACCGATACGACGACACCGACGACAACGACTAGGACGACACCGACGACGTCTCCGACGACTTCGACGACGACAACGACGCCGACGCCGACGACGACGAAGACGACGACGACGCCAACGACCGCGACGACGATGGAGGAGGAAGGACGACGACGGCGACAACGACGACAACGACGACAACGACGAGGGAGGAGGGAGGACGGCGACGACGCGAACGACGACGAAGGAGGAAGGACGGCGACGCCGACGACGACAACGACGAGGGAGGAGGGAAGACGACGACGACAACGACGACGACGACGGCGACGAAATAGGAGGGACGACGACGAGACGCCGACGACGGACGACGACGACGACGTGGGAGGAGGAGGAAGGACGACCACGGCGACAACGACGACGGAAACGACCACGACGCCAAAGAGGACGACGACGACGAACACGAGAAAAGACAGAGGACGACGTAGGCGACGACGACGACGCGGGAGGAGGGAGGACGGCGACGACGACGACGACGCAAGAGCGCGCGCGCACGCTTTTTGTTGAAAATTTGTTTTGCGAAACCTTAGGTTTGTAGGTTTTTTGGATGCACGATTTTGAAATTCTTCCGAAACCGATGGGTTTTGAAGGATTTCGACATACGCCCGCGACGACGCGCGCGTCTGCACTTCGTCCGTTTTTGGCAGAGGATTCTCGCGACGGCACGCGCGCAAGGGCGTTCGACAGATTTCGACATGCGCGCGCGCGAAGCCCGTTTGGTAGCATTTTGTGAAAATATTGAAAAACCTATTGGTTTTCTCAAGATTTCGCAAGAGCTCGCGCGGAAGTTTTTTAGCAAATCAGTGTTGCGAAACCATGTGTTTTTGTATGTGTTTTGGAAACTCGATTGCGAAATCCTTCCGGCACTGAAGGTTTTTGGAGGATTTCGGCATGCGCGCGCGACGACGCTCGCGTGTGCACTTCGTCCCATTTGTTGCAAGGGATTCGTGAACAAGTGTTATGTTATAACAAACAATGTCACCGCATAGTATTTTTTTTACAAGGGAACCTCAGAGGGGGGGCGAACCTGGTTTGGCTGGGATGATATGATTTCAAATTTAGAACGGACGAGTGTGCATAATACATATATATACATATGTATATATATGTATATATGTATATATGGTATATGTATATGTATATATATATATATATATATATATGTGTGTGAAATTATATTATCCCAGGGGGAAGCGATACATCCCGGGGGGGGGGTAGAGTTTTTTTTTTTTTTTTTTTTTTTTTTTTTTTTTTTTTTTTTTTTTTTTTTTTTTTTTTTTTTTTTTTTTTTTTTTTTTTTTTTAAAAAAAAAAAAAAAAAAAAAGGAGAACCTATGTTGCGCAATCTTTGGTCCAACCTGTGCTGTGCTATATATGTGGTGCAAGCTATGTGGTGCAAGCCATGATGTGTGACCTACGTGGTGCAATCTGGGTGGTGCAAGTAATCCTTGTTCGCAGTGGGTTGTGTCCATTCTACTGCTCGCGCAATCCTCCCACCCATCCGCCCATCCGCAACTTGGTTTGCAAAACCCATGTGGCGGCGATTGCGATGAGTGCTGGTAGTTGGCTGGTGCGTCTGTGCAACCGCGCTTGCCCGCGCATGCTCGCGCGCGCAGCGGCCAGATAGTTTGGCGCGACCGCCGCGGCCGCGGTGGCGCTGACCGGTGGGCACTTCCCAGCGGGCACTTCAGTGCGACTTTGCGACTTGGGAGGGCGCGGTATCATGGCAACGTCGACAGCATTAGGAGCGATGCTGATGATGGTAACGATGTTGGCGACGAGGATGACCACGACGACGGTAAGGCCAGTGACGGCGCCGATGCTGACCACTCCGACGACGATGACGGCGCCCTCGCGTCGGTGATGAACGTTTTGGAGGGAATTCGACATGCGCGCGGCCGACGTGCGAGAGTGGCCCGCATGGTGTTATCTGACACGGATCGCGCCCCCCCCCCCCCAGCACGCGCGCAAGGGCGTTCCAATGATGTCGACGTGCGGCGCAAGGGGCGCGCTTGGCCGACTGTAATGAACATGTGGAACATCTCATTGTGGTCTCAAGAATTCGCAAAAATGCGAGCGCACGCATTTTTGACAACTGATATTGCAACACCATGTTTTTTTACCAATGTTTTCGGGACACACGTTTTTGACATCCTTACGAAACCTACGGTTTTGTTTAGTGATTCCGGCATGCGCGCGCGACGACGCGCACTTCGTCCCATGTGTTGCAACATACTCTTGCGACAGCACGCGCGCAAGGGCGTTCGAGCGATTCTGGCTGGCATGCGGGCGCGAGAAGCCAGTTCGGTAGCAAGTTGTGACCATGTTGAAAAATGTTTGGGTTTCGTTGCAAGTCGCAAGAGCCCGAGCACAAACTTGTTTTGACAGTTCTTGTTGCTACACCATGTGTTTCTACTTGCGGGGACATTCGATTTTGAAATCTTTACGGGTCCGAAGCGTTGTTCGAAGGATTTTGGCATGCGCGTGCGCGACGACGCGTGCGTGTGCGTTTCGTTTCTTCTTTTGTACTGGGTTCTTGGCAACTGATGGTTTTTGGTAAACCAGTGTGCGCGCATCATGGTGAGGGGGGGCGATCATGGTTTTCTTGGGGTGATACGAGTTCCTATTTAGGATGGACGATGAGGCAAAACCACCGTGACAAGGCAATGAGAAAGTGGGATCCGTTAAGTGTGCGTGTGTGGGGTAGATCATACTATTCCTTGAGAACAGAGAATATATGATCTAGGTGCTGCAATCTATGTGGTATCACCTGCGTTGTGCAATTTTGGCGGCGACGGGCCGGCGACGGCGACAACATAGCCGCCAGATCGACGACCGAGCCCAGGCGACAGGCGGCGACGAGGCGGCGACGGGGCGGCGACGGCGTGAACATAGCCGCCAGACCGACAACACAGGCCCAGACGACGGGCGGCGACGAGGCGGTGACGGGGCGGCGACGGGACAACATCGCCGCCAGACCGACAACCAGGCCCAGTTTTTGAGGCAAGGAGTGCGAACCCCTAAGTGCAAGCACTGTTTGGGGAAAAGGACGAACCCTCGAACCGTGAGAGCGCGCTACAAGTTGAAAGTCAGCGTCATGACATTCGCGGACGTCTCGCGCGAGAGGTCGACGATGTAGATGACGTGCGCTACATGGGTCTACATGTTTTGAAATTGGGATTTCTAAGTAATCGAACCGGGCGCCATCTTCAACGAAACCCGTTTCTTCTCCAGGCTGGAAGGTGTTCGAAACTTGTTCAGCGAAAATGCGCGGCGTGATGTCGATATTCCTTGAGTCTTGGTCGTCGCTCGAGTTCTTTTGGTTTCGATACCGTGCTTCCCGAGGCAGTCTCAAGCGAAACGCCTCTCACGCGCAGGGGGTTCCGTGGCCTCTCATGTTCAAAGGGTTTGGTGGCCTCTCACGCGCACAGGGTTTTCTCGTTTTCGCCGCCGTCGTCGTCGTCGTCGTCGTCGTCGTTCCTGCAGTCTTCGTGGCCTTCGTCATCGCCGTCGCCCTTTAATGTCCCGCCCGACCCGACCCGTTCGCCCGTTAGGGCCCGCCTGCCCTGCCCGAGCCGCCTGTGAAGGCCCGCCCGCCCGACCCGCCCGTCAGGGCCAGTCTGCCAGACCCGCCCGTGGGGGTCCGCCCGCCCAGCGCACCCAGTGGGTCACTGTCGCCTTCGTCGCCTCCATTGTCGTCGTCGTCGTCGTCGTCGTCGTCGTCGTCGCATTTGTCGTTGTCGTCGTCGTCACCGTCGCATTTGTCGTCGTCGTCGTCGTCGCATTTGTCGTTGTCGTCGTCGTTCTTGTAGTCTTCGTCGCCATCGTCATCGCCGTCGTGGTCGTCGTCGCCGTCGTCGCCGTCGTCGTCGTCGACGTCGTCGCCCTCGCGGGCGTCGCCGCCCTCGTGGATGATCAGCTGGATGGTATGCGCGCTACTTCGACGTTAAGCCCGGCCCGACCAGCCCGCCCATGAGGGCCCGCCCGCCCGATCTGCCCGACTTGCCCATTATGGCCCGCCCGCCCCGTCCGCTTGTCAGGGCCCGCCCGCCCGCCCCACACGCCCCTTAGGGTCTGCTCGCCCGACGCGCGTGTTAGGGTCGCCGTAGCCGTCGTCGCCCCTGTCGTCGTCTCGTCGTCCTGGTCGGCGTCTCAGTCGTCGCCCTCGTCTTCTTCGTCGTCGTCGTCGTCGTCGTCGTCGTCGTCTTCGTCTTCGGCGTCGTGGTCGTCGTCGTCGCCCTCTTCATCGCCGTCGTGGTTGTCGCCGTCAACGCCGTCTTCGTCGTCGCCCTCGCGGTCGTCGCCGCCCTCGCGGATGTTCAGTTGGATAGTATGGGTGTTACTTTGCTGCCCCGCCTAGCCCGACCAGCCCGCCGACTAGGACTCGCCCGCCCGATCCGCCCGACCCGCCCGTTAGGGATCACCCGCCCGGTCCGTCTGTTAGGATCGTCTTCGTCCTGGCGTCGTCGTCGTTGTCGTCGTCTTCGTTCTTGTCGTTCTAGCCGCCCTCGCCATCGCCGTCGTGGTTGTCGTTACTATCGTCGCCGTCGTCGGCCTTGCGGTCGTCGCCGCCCTCGTGGATATTCAGCTGGATGGATTGCGCACCACTTTAATGTCACGCCTTTCTCGACCCGAACACGCGTTGGGGCCCACCCGCCCGACCCGCCCGAAAGGGCTCGCCCACCCTATCCGCAGGGCCCGCCCGCCTGACCCGCCCGTTGGGGCCCTCCCGCCCGACGCGCCTATTCGGGTCGTCGTCGCCATCGTCGCCCTCATCGTCGTCGTCGTCGTCGTCGTCGTCGTGGTCGTCGTGGTGTCGTCGTCGTCGTCGGCGGCTTCGTCGGGTTCGTCGGCGTCGCCCTCGTCGCCATCGTCGTTGTCGTCGTCGTCGTCCTCGTCGTCCTGGTCGTCGTCGCCATGTCCGTCCTCGTCTTCGTTCTTGTCGTCTTCGTCGCCCTCGTCACCGCCGTCGCGGTTGTCGTCGCCATTGTGGATGTTCAGCTGGATGGGTTGCGCGCTATTTTCATGTCCCGCCCGACCCGACCCGCCCGCCTTTTGGGCCCGCCCGTCCGACCCTCCCGACCCGCCCGTTAGGGCCCGCCCGCCCGATCCGCCCTTTAGGGTCCGCCCGCCCGACCCGCCCGTTGGGGTCCGCCCGCCACACGCGCCCATCAGTATCGTCGTCGCCGTGGTCGACCTCATCGTCGTCGTCGTCGTCGTCGTCCTCGTCGGTACCGCAGTCGTCGCCCTCGTCGTCGTTGTCGTCGTCGCGATTGTTGTCTTCGTCGCCCTCATCATCGCCTTTGTGGTTGTCGTCGCCATCGTCGTCGTCGCCCTCGCGGATGTTCAGCTGGATATATGCGCGCTACTGTAATGTGCGGCGCGACCTGAACCACCCGCCCACCAGTTAGGGTTCGTTAGGGTCCGCCCGCCCGACCCGCCCGACACACCTGTTAAGGTCTGCCTGCCCTGCCCGCCCGTCAGGGTCCGCCCGCCCGACACGGCCGTTTGGGTAGTCGTCGCCGTCGTCGCCCTCATCAAGGTCGCCGTCGTCGTCGTCGGCGTCGCAGTCGTCACCTTCGCCCTCATCATCGTCGTCTTCGTCATCCTCTTTATCGTCGTCGTCGTTCTTGTTCTCTTCGTCACCCTTGTCATCGCCGTCGTGACTGTCGTCACCATCGTCGTTGTTGTCGCTTTCGCGGTCATCGTCGCTCTCGTGGATGTTGAGACGGATGGATTGCGCCTAATTCACCGGCCCGACGACCAGCCCGCATATTATGATGTTCCAACCTACTTTAGCCTTGACCACCAGAAAGAATTTCGAGCACCAGAAAAGTACCGAAACTCGAGGATTTTCACGCGTCGGGCCCTGGGAGACACTCGTCCGACGCTGTTTCGACACTGTTCCGGGTGCTCGAAATCATTTATGGGATGTGGTCCTTAAGTACAATGGGAGCAACATAACCCTCATAGTCAATCATTGCGCAAGGTCGTTGCGCAGTGCGCGATGCTTGTTGCGATGCGTCGTCCAAGTGGTTCGTCTTCAACGGATGGACATACTGTGCGCCCGCGAGGTTTCGCCTGATGTCGTAAGGCCTGCTCTTGTGTCGATCGCGTTTGTTTCGACTGCTATGGTTTCAACCGATGAGGTTTCGCAAATGTTGTTTCTCTCGCTTTTGTTTTGCCCGTTTTGTTTTGACCGCCGTGTTTCCCGGCTGTTATTCCATCTGTTTTTGATTCGTCCTTTTGGGTTTGCTGATTTTGTCCGCGCTGAGTTCCTCGCTTGTGTGTTCGTTTGTGTTTATCGAATTCACTGTTGATTCGTTCGTTTTTGCTTCGCACCCTTTTGTTTCGCCCGATTTTGTTTCACCCGCCTGTGTTTCATCCGTTTTTATTTTGCCCGCGTCGTTTCGCCTACTTTTGTTTCGCCAGCTTTGTTTCATCCACTCCATTTCGCCCGCTTTTATATCATCCGCTTCGGTTTCCCCGCTTCGGATTCGGCTGGGCGAGTCAGAACCAGGCGAATCGGAGCCGGGCGAATTATCACCCACGAATCAAAATTTGGCGAACCGAAGTCAGGCGAATCGAGACCAGGCGAATCGGAACAGGGCTATTACAAAGTTGGTGAATCAAAGGGGGCGAATCGAAACAGACGAATTTAACAACAAACCGGATGATCTTGAACCGGGGCGGGCAACAAATGCATGATTTCTGGGATCAACATGGGTGAGGAGTCGAATTTGCTGAATCGAAACAGGCGAATTGATCCGGGTATATTTCAATCCGGGCGAAACAGAGCAGAATCCGCCAGGAGGCGGACATGGATATTTGCGGGCCCCGGTGGGGCCCAAAGATGCCCATATGCACACTGACCACTGCCTCCCGGTGTCCGCGGACGTGCTCCCAGGACCCACTTCGGCCCGCTGTGCTCCCGGCGTCCGTCCTCGGCTCCAGGGACTTCGGCTCCTGAGGCGGTAGATGTTGTACGGTGCCGTGCTGCGGTCGAGGTATCGGTTTGGCCGTTTGGTCCCGTCGACAGTGGTTCTATATATATATATATTTATATGTATGTGTGTGTGTGTGTGTGTGTGGGTGGCAAATCTCTGTAATCAGCGGGCCCGTACGTTTCGAGGGCAAATTCGTATCAACCGCCATTTCACGTTCGCCTCCTCTCTCCTTCTCGTCCTGCCCCTCTGGCCTTCTCCCCCTTTCGTCCCCGCCCTCCGCCAGCGGCCGCTGCTAAAACATTTCCCTGGCGAAAGACCCGCGCATCTGCAAGTGCGAGTACCACAAAGCGGGTTGTACGAAGCAAGGAGACGCTCCATGTGGGGCCATGAGACATGTGAGGAGTGCGCCGAAGTGGGCACGGGGGCGCATGCGACCTGCCACTGGGTCTTCGGTGGAGCTTCCATGGGACCACGAAGCGTTTGAGGGGTGTGCCAGAATGACGGGCGGGAACTCATGAGAACCCTGCCGCTGGGGCCTTCGCTGGAGCTCCCCGGTGCCACGAAACATGTGAGGAGTGTGCTGGAATGACAAGCGGTAACTCGTGCGAACTTTGCCATTTGGTCTTTCGGTGGGGCCCTCTACGGGGCCGCGAGACGTGTGAGGGGCGTACCAGAATGACAGGCGAGAACTCATGCATACCCTGCTGCTGGGGCCTTCGGTGGTGATGGGTGTGCCCAGCGTGCCCGAAGGTGATTGATGATGGTGATCGTGCCGATGCTGATGATGACGATGCTGCGGATAATGAGTATGGTAGTGCGAGTGGTGATGATGATGATGATGATGATGATGATGATGATGATGATGATGGTGGTGGTGGTGGTGGTGGTGATGATGATGATGATGATGATGTGAACACTGCGGTTGTGGAAGTAGAAGGAAGGGATCCGCAGTTCTCTCGGACCGATCCCTTCCCGCGCTGCGCGGCGGGCGAGCCCGCGGTTGATGCGTGGGGGGCCCGCGGCCAGAGCGCGGGCGGTCCACGTGCCTGCCCCTGGATTCGAGGCCTACCCAAGGCCCGTTTCCAGCGGCGAGGAGGCCGCGCCATCGGCGGCGGAGGACCCAGAGGGGGCCCCCCGGGCCGTCATTCCGGACAGCGCCCAACGCGGGCCGCCCTGAGGGGCGGCAGGTGCCGAACCTGTGGTTCGGGCCTCTCCTGCCGCTGGCAGCCACTGCTACGCAATCTGGGCCGCCCAGGGCTGGGGCGAGGACTTCGGCGGGGTGCACGGAGGATGCGCAGTCGCGTGGCAGGCTATCGTCGCCAGACTTGGAGACGGCAAGCACACCAGCGGGCGGTGCCGCCTGCGTGGATCCCCGTCGGTGGGCGAAGCAACCGACAGGTTTTCCGACGAGCAGCGGGACTTCACATGCATTGTCAAAGTCTTCGACTGGACCAGGGTTCGATGACGATGTTGCCCACGGGTGCGCTGCAGCAGACGGGGGACGCGCTGCATCGCTCATGGCTTCTCGAACTGCCGATCGTCGGGGCCCGCGCCGCTAGCGCCGCAGCGCCGTGCGAGGCCCGCGCCGTCGTCGTCTAGTTCGTGAAGCTCGATGGCCCCGTGGCCGTCGACGCGTTCACCGTGGGCGACTTCCGCGACCTCGAGCTGGAGGAGCTCCTCATCGTGGCGCCCGCACCCGCCGTCTGTCTTCCGCGCGACACCTGCGCGCTCGCCTCCGTAGACTACGCCTCGGTGGCGCTGCGGTCGGCCCTGGGCGAGGAGATGCCCGCGCACGTGGCCCACATGAGAGTCTCGCCCGCGTTCTTGACGAGGCTGACCGAGAGCTGTGGGGAGGGCGAGGTGACCGAGTTCTTCGACTGCAGGCGGCTCCGCTCAGCGGGGCCTGATCGAGCTGGCCGATCTCGCCCCGCAGCCGGAGGATGTGATTGTCGGGGTCCTGCTCCAGCCCGTCGCGCCCCCCGACCCCGCGTCCCAGGGCGACCTGCGGCGCATCGGCTTCCAGCTCTCCGTCGACGGCGAGATCGAGGGGGGAGGTGCCTCGCCGCCGCCGACGAGCACGACGGCGAGGGCATCGGAGACGACGAGGTCGACGCAGCCCGCGCGGCTGTCGCGCAGGATTGGGCAGGTCGTCCGCGTGGCGCCTACGCGGCGGGAAGCCCAGGCGTGGAGGGAGACGGGCCGCTGGCAGGCCCTGGGGGCCCATGGCCCCGCTTGCCAGGCGTCTCGCTTCAGGGGGTGGCGCCGCCACTGGCTGCGCCCGCCGGAAGGCCCGCGCCCGCCGCCCCTCCCGCGGCGGGGGGTCGCGCGGGCCGCGCAGGGCGGCGGGGGCCAGCGGTGGGCAGCGCCGAGAGGGCCGCGATTCGCGACCCCTCGACGGGCCAACGTGTTGCACGACGACCTGCAGATGAGCGCTCTCGGGAACTTCAAGAACGAGCTGCTGGCTGCCATCGGGGGCCGGCCGAGAGGCTTCTCGAGCCAAATTAACCGGGTGGAGAGGAGCAGCGTGGAGGCCAGTGGCTTCTCTCTTGCGGCAGCTCCCCCTGCTGGGTTGGGGTTGCTGTCGGGCGGGGCCCGCCCCTGGCGCGCTGCCGCCTGCTCCACTGGTCCCCAGCGAGTCCCCCTTCCTGAGCTCGCCCGCCCAGGGCGGCGGCGCATCTGCCAGGGCCTCGGCCAGCCCGGGCGCTTGCCGGGGCCGGCGGGGCGGCCGAAGAGGACCTGGCGACGGCGCGCGGGCTGCTCCGGCGGGCCGACAGACTTCCCCGCGCGAGCAGGTGGCCCGCGCGGTTCCAGAAACGCCGACCTCGACCTCGGGCCCTCGTCGAGGCCGGCGGCCGCGACGCAGACAAGGCTGCCCAGCTTGCAGCGCCGCGGGCGCTGGACAAGGTTGGCGGCCCCAAGGAGGCGGGGGGGGGCGAGCCCACCCTGGGCGATTTTCTTTCTGGGGGCGCAGCCTCGAGCTCCGGGGCGGGCCCAGCGGCCCGGGTCAGCGGGGCACGGTGCCGCGGGTCTTCTGGCTATCCGCAGGGCCATCGCGCGGGGGCCGCAGAAGTGCCCCGCCTGAGTCGACGCCGCGGCCTTCGCCGAGATCGGCTGCGACGCCGCCGGCGCGCCTTGGAGCATGATTCCTCATGGCGGACAGTCAGAGCCCCGAATCATCAGGGGTAACTCGGGTCAGGGACAACTCGGGTTCGTTTTTCGGGAATCCAAACCCGAGTTACCCCGGGCCCGAGTTGCCCCGGATAACTCGTGCGTCCAGAGCCCCGAATCATCAGGGGTAACTCGGGTCAGGGATAACTCGGGTTCATTTTTCGGGAATCCAAACCCGACTTACCCCGGGCCCGAGTTGCCCCGGATAATTCGGGCGCCCAAGACAGAGGATCAGATTCGGGCGCCTCGAGGACCGCGAGCGCTTCTGAGAGATGCCGGCGCCTCCGCGCGCGATCCGCGGGCCCCGGCAGCGCGACCTCCTCGGCGCCCGTGTCGGCCAGTTCCTGACGGTCGCGCAGCAGTCGGTGACTGCGAATGGCTCTTGCAGGCTGGCCCGGCTGATCGCTGGCCTCGGGTCGGGTAGCCAGTGGCTTGGCGCGCCCCGCTGAGTTCGCCGCCTCAGTCGCCCGCGGGCGCGAGACAGGCTCTCGAGAACGCCCTCGAGAGAGAGGGGGTTGAGACGTCGCCGGGGACTGCGTCTGGGATGAAGTCCAATGAGTGGGCCAGGAAGGAAGAGCAGGGCGGCGGCGGCGGCGGCGGGGGAGGCGAGGGATCGTTTCCAGATAAGTCCGACAGCTTATAGAAACAGCTCAGGATTCGGGTCTCCATCCTCTTCTTCTACGACTCCGACTTCGCAGGTCGCCGTTGGTTCGGTCATCTGCGCTCTTTTTTGCATCTGACCTGCCGACCTCGTTCCGCGCCGTGCCCCGGGGGGGGGTCGTCAAACTCGCCCCGGCGGGGCGTCGTGCCCCCCCCCGGTTTTGCCCAGAGTCGCCCATGCCTTGCGTGGGCTTCCCCGCGATTGGCTTGAGAGTGCAGCTGCGCCACGGTCGCCGCAAGGACTCGCGCGGTGGCTTCGGGGGAGACGCAAGCGGCGCTGGGTAAACGTGTCTGTCGCCCTCCTCTCTCGGCTCTAGCTCGGTCGCCCTGCGGGCGGGCCGACGACGCCCTGCCTCGCCGCGCCCTAGACTCAGAAGCAGTGGCAGCTGGCGCGCCAGCTGGGCGACGAGATTCCCGGCCGTTGCCGCGCCGAGGAGCCAGTGCCTCTCCTGACTGGCGGCGTCGCTGGCATCCATGGGGCCGCGACAGGGCCCGTGGGCGATTCGTGCTTGGGAGGCGGCGCGCATTCCGTGGTGCAATTTACTTTCGCCGCAGACAACCTCAGCGCCCCGCCCAGGGGGGCGACGAGCGCGCCCCAGGAGCCCGTCGCGCCGCCCGAGCACAGAACGGCTTCGTCTTCCGCGCGCCGCGCGCCTTCGACCTCGAGCCGAGCCGCCTGCGCAACCAGCTGCCCCGCGCGCGCGCGTGGGCCGCTTCGCCGCGACGGCGGCGCGCGGCTGGGATGCGCGGCTACTGCGGCTCGCCCGACCGGAGGGCCTCCAATCGCACGCGGGCCCCGCTGTGCGCGCTGGTCTCTTCGGCGTGGGAAAGAAGCGCGACCGCTGGCTGAGGGGGTCATCGATAGGCAGCGGCGCGCGCCCCTTCCGAAGCCCCTGGAGGGGGTCCTCCGCGAGTGTGCGTTCGCCGCAGAGATCCCCCGCATCCGAAGCGCCTACTTCGAGCGCCTTGCAACCCTCCACCATGCTTCGCAGTTCATGGAGCTGTTCCTCCCGAAGGAGCGCCTGTCAATGTCCTCGGACGATGCCGAGGATTTCCTCTTCCTCCTGCAGTGGCTGAGCGCCCAGGGGCCTCGGGGGCGGCCCGGATCGTGCATCGGCGTCGCCCGCGCTCCGCAGGGTGTTTCCGCGACGCGGGGTGGCTCATCAATGGTCGGGCCCCTCCCTGGGGCCGAGTCGTGGAGGGCGTCTACTCCGACGACCGCGCGGTCGTCGCGCTCTGCGACAGCCCCGACGCCACTGGCCCGATCCGACAGGCAGTTCTCCGGCGCGTCCGTCAAGAGCACCGCGCGATCGGGAGGGCGTCGAGGGTTAGGAGGAGAAGGCGACCCGGGATCAGCTGCAGGCAGTCGTCTGGGGGGGCGAGACCCCCTCGTGACAATCCGACATGGGCGGAGAGATCGCGCAGGTCAAGCAGCTCGGCGCGATCGCCGCGTACGTCGCCCTCGTCGGTTCCGCGTCGATCGCGCTCGCGAGGTGGCTTGCCGGGTGCTGGGTTCACCGCTTGATGTTTTGCCGAGCCGCCATGCGCCCCGCGGGCGAGCTCTACGCGTGGCTCCGCATGCCTGGGGTGGACCCCGCAGCGCGACGGCAGTTGCCGAACGCGGTGCTTGATGAGCTGATTGGATCGGTCCTCCTGTTCCCGCTGTGCAGAAGCTCACTTGACTCAGCGGTGGCCGAGCAGGTCTTCCCCTCGGACGCCGCCTTCCTCGTCGGCGGAGCCCCTGCGGCGCCTTTCAACGTGGGGTGGTGGTGGTGGGGGGGGGGGGGCGGCCTGGCTCTGGGCGCGAGCTCCTGGGCGGACAGGCGCGGTGGGACTCAGACCATTGGGGCCCCCAGACCCCCGCGAGCCCCTCGAGGTCTTGGGCGGCGGCGCGCGCGGTGCTGCTCCGTTGCGTTCCTGGATGGGGTCCAATCAGTTCGTCGCCCTCCTCAATCGCGGTATCTCGGATCGGCGCCGCGCGGGCGTTCGGGGGGCCGTTGACTTTAGATCGCAGATTAAGAGGGCGGCCAAGGGCCCGAACATGCACGGGGAGCGCATTCCCGTGCTCATAGACTCGCAGGTTTTACGCGGCGCTGCTGTCCGAGACGGTCGCCCAGCAGGGCCCTTGAGATGACATTTGCCATGGCTCTCCCGCTCTCTGTTAAAGGGGGGGGGGGGACCGTCTCCTTCCGGGTGCGAAGTGCCCGCAATTCTGCGTGTGACTGATCCCACCAGTCGTGCTGGGGCGCGTGAGGCCAGACCGCGCCCCCCCGAGCTAACGGCGTCAATTGCCGCCGCCGAGAAGCTCTGGGGCCGGGCCGTGCGCGGGCATCGCTCAGTCCATGAACGCCGACCTCCAGTCTTCCACGGCGCCTTCAGTGAGCTGAAGGGTCCTCTGAGTTCAGCCCTGGGGCGCCGCGGGCGGATCGCCGTCGGGCGCGACGCGCAGCGCGGGCCTCTCGAGGACTTCGCCGACGCCGACGTGCTCGCCCAGGAGACCGAGCACATCGCGACGACCGGGCCGCTGGCGGCCGCGCTGGGGCCGCTGCGCGGGACCTCCTCACGATTCATGAGCCTGTGCTCGCCGCCCTCTCGGACGCGCCAGCGGCCGTGGGAGGCCGCGGCAACGCCCCATGGAGGTTCTTGGCAACGAGCGCGCGGGGGCTGGGCTGGATCTCGCAGAGGCACTCGACCGCGCAGGCGCCCTGCGGGCGCGGGGGCAGCCTCGGCGGCCCCTTCGGCGGGCGTTCCCGGAGCTCCAAGAGGCCCTCAGCGAGGGCCCGCTCCACGAGTGCGCCATGGGCTGGTGCGCGCGGGGAAGTCGGCCACCCGGGCAGGGCGGCGGGCGCTCCTGCCCCTGCTGGCGTGGCGGCGCGACCGCAGCTGCCAGCGCCTCGTCCTGGAAGCCACCATTAAGGGCGACGGTGGCGTCTGGCGGCGCCTGGCGCATGTGGCAGACGAGCATTCCAACGAGTGGTGCGAGGCAGTGGCCGAGCACCTCGACGTGTGCTGCCGCTCGCCGCGCTGCTGATGTTCCCGGGGTCTTCTGCAGCTGGCCGGGGTTTCAGGGGGGGGGCCGCCCGCGCGCCGCGGCGCGGTCTCGCGACGAACGTCCCCGCGGGCTGGGCGGAGCCTCCGAGTAACTGTCAAGCCGCCCGCTGCCCGCGGGCGCATCGTCGCGCCCGATGCGCGGAGCCTGCGGCCCCAGTGTCGAGGCCCACTCCGCCCCGGCGACGTCGCGCGCGCCATCGAACTGCTCGGCGCCACCCTCGTGGCCTACACTCAGTGCGTCTACAATGAAAAAGCGCCGTTCTTTGGGGGATCCGATGCCCTCGTTGGCGCCCAGTTCCGCTTGCCCCAGGCCCGCGGCCCATAGCGCCCAGCGTGGGCCGCGGTGCCTCGCCGGCGCAATCGTGAGCCAGTCGAGATGCGCGCCCCCGTGCCTGTGGAAGTGCTACTGGTCCTGGCCGTGGCTGCCCAGGCGCATGGATGGAACGCGACAGCAGCCTGGTCGCGAATGCCTTCGGGCGGCGTCTCGTCTTGCCTGGGGATCTGGGAGGCGATGTCAACGCGGGCGTGCTCTTGCGGCTCCCTTCTAAAACGTCGGGCCGAGGGCCGCAGTCCCAGAGCGTGCTGATCGACGATCCTGCGCTACTGAACTTGGGCGCGTCTTTGGCCCCCCCTCCCCGACGTCGGCGTTGCGCCTGGGGCAGCTGCATGGGCCGACCCAGATGTTCATTTACCCCGAGGGCCTCGTCGGCATCAGCGACTCCCCGCGCGCCCTTGGGTCGCTGCGATGGGGGCGGGGCTATCCGTCGCTTCCGCTCGTTTCAAAACCTGGGACTGCTGCAGTACCGTGGGCGCTGGGAATATGTAAAGTCAATGCGCCGCCATCCCCAGAAGGGCACGGCCGCCCTGTCCTTCGCCCGCATGCCGTGCGACAGCCGACGACGTGTCCAGCAGCTCGTCCAATTCGCTCCACATTTATAGGGTTGTAGGTGACTGCCACCGCGTCCGTGGGAGAGACGCATTTATACACGTGGCAATGACGGTAAGGTTGGAACAGGTTGGAAGTTCTCTATTTGTGGGGCTCTGTGAGGCCGCGCGGCAGAGACGCGCCGCGGCTCCCCGACGCCCCTGACCGCCCTTTGGCTAGCTCGTTTCCGCAAACATCTCACATGGGGCATTTTGGAAGCGAGCGTCGTAGACCAAGAGGGTTATGATCAGGATCGTGATGAAGTTGGTGATGACGATGATGGGTATTTGAGCAGGCCGATCGATTTCCCTCTTGAGGCCCACATAACACATGCGAAGTGCCGTTGACTTTAGCGGATGCGGAGGCAGCGATCATATCGCGCTCGCGTCGAGGTGGGGTGCGGCATATGTTATGGGAGGCTGCGGGAGTTGGCCAGGCCCGCTGTGGCGCTCGAGCACGGACATGTGATGGAAGCTGCGGGAGTTGGCCAGGGCAGCTGTGGCGCTCGAGCAACGACATGTTATGGGAGGGGTTCGGAGAGGTGGCTAGGCCCGCTCTGGCGCTCGAGCTCCCGACTTGGGCATCGCGGTCGTTTTCCCTCCTCCTCCCTCCTCCCTCATCCGCCTCTTCCGTCCTCCCTCCTCGTCCGCCTCCCTCCTCGGTAGGGAAACCCCTCCCCCGTAGAATCATAGCTTGTGCTGCAGGTCCAAGGTTCCGTGGATCCATGTCCGTTTGGGCCACTGGTATTCATGAATAGTAAGAAGTTATTCCAGCCAAATAATTGGATCCACGAAGCTTCCACGCCACAATTTTGGGTTTTAGAAGACACGGAAATTGGATCCTCGTGACTCTCGCACACACGTAATTTGATCAAAATGGATCCATGCGTTCCCATGCAAGAGGGGATGTATTGTGGCGAATCTGATGGTTACGATGATGTCGACGACGACGGCGATCATCATGATTATGTTGATGATGCTGCCGATGCTGATGCTGATGATGATGCTGATGATGGTGGTGGGGATGATGATGATGATGATGATGATGATGATGATGATGATGATGATGATGATGATGATGATGGCGGTGGTGGTGATGATGGTGCTGGGTATCTATCTGTTGATGGTGGTGATGATGGTGGTGATGGTGGTAAAGATGTTGATGACGATGCTGGTGGTCGTGGTGGTGATGTGCTGATTATGCATATGCTGATTTTGAGGAGGATGACGACGATGAAAGATGAGGGGGACGAGGTGATCAGGAGTGGCTAAGGGGCGCTGCCGATTCAGAGCGGGGACCCAAGGCCGTAGGATGGCTGGGAACGGAAAGCGAAAATCCTACCCTCGTGCGCGAGGCGGACTCGCTCGAACCTGCCACACTGATGCGCTCGTACGGCGGCCTGATGTACGGCCTCGGGCGCGTGTTCACCACGCCGGAGCTGGGCAAACCAAAAGGTACCGATACAGCTGCACCCCGTACCTCTCCCGGGGTGCGTTCTGACCAAAATCTCGTGGCGAATCCAGCGGTGGCGACGAGGGTCCCGAAGGAGGCCAAGGAGGGCGAAAACGAGGCGAGGGCAGGGACATCGGTACCTAATCCGTCCGAGGAACTGAAGCGGATCTACGTGGGCTCCTTCCGCGACGCGCGGCGCTCGGCCTCGCGGGGTCGGCCAGCCTGCTGCCACCGGGAGGGGGGAGGAGGGCCAAGAGCGGGAGGACGGGCTTCCGACGAGCGCGAGGAGCACGCGGAGTTCAGGAGGGCGTAGACGACGGCGAGGGGAGGACAGGGAAGAGGACAGGGATGAGGAGGAAAAGGGGGCAGCGGAGGGAAAGGAGGAGGAGGACCAGTGTAAACCCAAGACGCGTCAACGATCTCGTCATAACCCCCTACAATGGAAATGCCCCGTTGGGAGACAACCGTTTGAAAATCCGGAAGCGTGCCAAAACTCTATGTTCGTGATTCCTAACGTCACGAGCCAACCTGAGTCTTGCGTCTTGACGATCCTGCATCGTGCCGTAACACCACTCCTTGGATTTCCACACAGCGAATCAACGTAACTGTTGCACCCGGGCAATCTTGAATCGTTTCAAAACATGTGTTTGGTACGTTAACCATGAGAACCAGTGATACTTCTACATCTTTTGAAAGCAAATGTTAGCGGCGCAAGCGAAGACCACATTTGAGGAGGAACAGTCCTCAATGCGTGACAGCCTGGCACGTTTTTGAAACGAAAGTGCGCGGTGCTAAGACGATAACGACACTGTGAAACCACCTGTCTCGATCTATGGAACTCTTGCAACTTCCTTGCGGCGCAAAGGCGAGAGCCACATGTTGAAAACTATGTGTTTGTGCAATCCGCGAAAGTTTTGCAGATGTTTGACGAATGTGCGCGGCGCGAAGCTGATAACCATATTTAAACAACGACCTGTCCTCAACCCGTGACGCTCTTTCCATGCTTGAAATGAATGTGCGCGGCGCTAAGGCGAGAGCCACATGTTGGAAACGACCTGCCCTCCATCTGTGAATTTGTTGTCAGTTTTTAAGCTTTCAGGCTCAAGTGTGATAAAGGTGTCTCAGGCGAAACGCCCGAACGCACCTCTGGCATCCAGGAAGGGGGTTGCGCAGCGCGGCGAGCAGCGCGTCCGTCTGGCGTTGGCGCCGCCCCGGAGGCGTCGCGTGCTGAGGCTCCCCCTGGCGGTGCCGCAGGTGAGCGGCGGAGCGCTGATCTCCCCTACTCCCCTGGCCCCTGGGCCCCTGGGCCCCTGCGACGCTCGGCGTCCACGAGAAGGGTTTCATCTGGAGTTAACACCCTCTCAGGGTGAACACATCGACGCTCACCCAACGGAGGGTTAACTCCAGAGTAAAGCGTTTTTTAACTCCTGATTACCGCCTCCTCCCCCCCCCAGCCCCCCCACCTCCGTTCCCGTCCTCCTCCTCCTCTCCTCTCTCCTCCTCCTCCTCCCTCCTCCTCCTCCCCTCCCCTCCTCCTCCTCCTCCCTCCTCCTCTCCTCCTCCCTCCTCCTCTCCTCCTCCTCCTCCCTCCTCCCCCTCCTCCTCCTCCTCCTCCCCCCCCCCCCTCCTCCGTTCCCGTCTCCTCCCTCCTGCCCCGAATCCATGCTGGGGTGCCACTGCGTGCGCGGGCCAGGCGCGCAGGCGTTCTGCGGCCGCGGCTGGCCGACCCCGGGCCGCTTCACCCGGCGCAGGCTCGCCCCCCCAGCCTCCTCCTCCCCTCCTCCTCGCCTCCTCCCCTCCTCCTCCTCCTCCTCCTCCTCCTCCTCCCTCCTCCTCCTCCTCCTCCTCCTCCTCCTCCTCCTCCTCCTCCTCTCCCGCGGTGGCGGGCCGGCTGGCACCAAAACCACGCGGACGGGCGGGCGCGCGCAGCGCCACATCGGCGGGCATGGGCGCGCGCGTCGCCACATCGCCTCCCTCCAGTCAAAGTTGCACCATCTTGGCGCGCGCGTGCGCCCACTGCTCGTTTCTCGTTCCTGCTCTGGTCCTCTTCCTCCCCTGTCCCCTTGCCTTCGTCGCCTGTCTGCTGCACTGCGCGTTCGCTCACCTGGCGCAGTCCCTCTGCCAAGGCTCCAGGCTTTGCTCGTGTTGTTCTGTTTTACGCTCGCGCGGGATCCTGCTAAGTGCACTTCTGTCGGCATTGACCGTGGAGGTCGGGCTTCGGCCGCGCGAGTTCTGTATTTCATTCGCTTGCTGCCATTTTCCCTCTGTTGATTTTTTGTTTCTATCTCTCTCTCTCTAATTGTTCTTCCTCCTCCTCTTCCTCCTCCTCCCCCTCCGGGCTCCCTTTGTGTGGATTCTATGAATGGCCAGTTGAGCCATGGGGTTCCCGCCCACAACGCCGTGGTCACTTTTACCCGGCCCGCGTCCTCCTCCGCTGTGCTCGTCCTTCCTGTTGCCCGTCTTTGACGGCGCGTTTCGAGGGCAACCGCGGGCATCAGGCTTGCTTAGCGCTGTCGTGTGTGGGGGCACTTTGCAGTGGCAGTGCGAATCCTTTCGCTGTGTTGGCTGAGGCGTGGTAACACATGATGGAACTTTGTTCCAAGGACAGACAAGGTACGGCAGCAGACGCAGTGGAGGAAATCAAGAGCCATCATGGCACGATAGGTTTCTCCTCTCTTGCCGGGGGTCTTTTGGCCAGGGGCGTGCCGCCCGTCTTGGCGACTGGAGCGCTTCGCATCCACAAGGCGTCACGCGTCAACGTCTCGGCGATGAGCGCGACGACAAGTAGCATTGCCACGTCGCGCGGGCTCCACTACACAGTGGAGCGCCCAGTGCCGGCATCCTAGCAAGGGTCAGCGTCGAGGACGCCATTGGCTGGGCGAGGGACAGGTGGGAACATACATCGGCGCTCCGAAAGTTTATTCCGATTTGAGAGGCAAGGCGCCAGGCGAATGCAGCGCAACCACTATGCTGGAAGGGCGCGGCAATGCATGCCCCCTGGACAGGCGAGAGCAGCCGCGCCCCCGTGCGAACCCCGATCCCGCGCGGGGCGCGTTCCCGCTGCCAATGGCTCACCCGGGAACCCGTTTCTTGTGCAGGAAGTCCTGAGCGGTCTGCCCACCGGCGGCTCCTTCGGACGAGGCCCGGAACCACCGAGAAACCGTTTTTGATAGGAAGTTCTAGACGGTGTTCCCATGTTCGGTTTCTTCGGAGTGGGCCCGAAGACCTCGATAACGATGTTTTTGCAAGGAGTCTTAGGTGGTTTGCACATTTTCTGGTCGTTCGAACCGGACCCAAAATTATTTGTGTGGCACAAGTCCTATGGCATGTGGCCACTTTCAGGTCGGCCCGTCAACTTTTCGGTTTGTCGCATGGCCGAACCCGAAAGCTTTTTTCGAGTAGGTCCTATGCTGTTTGCTCATTTTCGGGTCAGTACACAGTTTGGGATTAACTGGGAAGGGGGACCCGATCCCGCAACCCCGGGCGGGGGTTAGGCTCTGCCATTGCATTGTCTTGGGCCCCTCCGGCCGAACGGAGTGCTGGGCTGCTCGTGGGCGCGCCGACTCTGTCCTCGCGACATCGCCCCCATCCGCCCTCGGGCCCCGCGAGTCTTATCCTGCGCGCGCCACCCCAGATGGCCGCGGCGAGCACAGTGGCGAAATTGTGGAAACTTTCGGATCGGCGCAGTAATCAGCCGGGCATCATTCTGCAAGGCCTTCGTATTGGTGGCTGTAATTGAAGTGACAACATTTTCACGTTTGTGGCATTGCTTGCCAAAGCGGTTGAAGTCATCAGTGTCATGGAGTTCGCCCTGTGGTCAAAACGCGGTCCTTCCATCGAGCCGACTAACAAAACAAATAACGTATTAAGTCCGACAGAATACAGAATACCCACAGGAACGTTGGACCGACGGAAGAGGAAACATTTGGAATTCGTTATTTTGCATAGGAGTGTTTTAGAAGCAGCGTGGGATGCGATCTGGAAGGCTTTTTGGCGCAACGCGAGGTTCTTTTCGAAGCTCCTCATCCAATGCCGGAAGCGGCTCGAACAACTGGATTATGTCTCAGGTGCGCTTCTGCACGGCGCGTAACGCTTCACTTTCATAACGCCCTCGCCTGACTGCTGCCACGAGGGGGCATGCCGTCGTTTCGGGTGCAATTCGTTTTCTCCTTGACCACAGTTCTGGATGCATCTTAAATTGAACAATAACAATCATATCCATCATTTCTTCTTGTGTAATAGCCTGTCCAGTCCCACAAGTAGTCATCAAAGACGCTACGCAGTTCATGGATGGCAATATCTCCAAAGTCCCCACATGAATACTTGAACTATTCTATTGTGACGGCCTGACGGCCGGCGCCGCCGACCCTGAAAAAACATCGACGACGACCAGGAGGGGGAGAAGGAGGAGGAGGAGGAGGAGGAGGCGGAGATGAAGAGGAGGAGGAGGAGGAAGAGGAGGAGGAGGCGGAGGAGTTGGAGGAGGAGGACGAGAAAGAGGAGGAAAAGGACCCCCCCGTGGGCGGACTGGAGGAGGACAGGCGTGGGAGAGGGGAGGGGAGGGGGAGGAGGACCCCAGGGACGGATGCGTATCTGACCCCCCCCCTTGCTGGGACCCCTCCCCACTTCGGGAGGAGGGCCCAAGGAGGGCCAGTGCGGAGGAGAAGGACCGGCGTTGGAGAGGAGGACCCCCAGAGGCGATGCGAATCTGACCCTCCCCCCGGGGGACCCCCCCCCGTCGGGGAAGGGACAAAGGGAAGGGGGTCTCTTTGACGTAATGAGGACGTGGATGGAGTTCCCTCAAGCTGCGAATACGCTTCCCAAACAAGAGACGGCGCTCTCTCTCTCTCTCTCTCTTTCTCTCTCTTTCTCTCTCTGTCTCTCTCCCCCGACGGGAGAGGAGGATGGGAAGGAGGGGGCGAAAGAAAGCTCCCCGTCGACGGGGCCGGACAGACACCCCACACGCCGACAGGGCCGGCGGATTCATCCAGACGTGCCAAAGCCCTACGTGGCCTTCCCTGCACGCAGTGGTCCAGAATTTATATCATGACTAACTGTTCGCGGCGCCCCCACCGTCAGCGTTACGAGGCTTCGTTGGAAAACGCCGGTTTGAAGACCCTGAAGCATGCCAAAACGCTGTTCTCGGGATTCCAACGCCACGGATCAACCTGATTGTTGTGTCTTGATGATCCAGGATCGTGCCAGAACGCCACTAGAACGATTTTAACACAGAGAAACAAGGTAATTGTTGCACCCGCATAATCCTGAATCCGTCCAAACCACCATTTCTGATACGTTTATGATGGAAATCCGTGGGACTCTTGAAAATATTGTAAACGAATGCGCGCGGCGCTATGGCGAAAACCACAGTTTGAAACGGAACCGTCTTCAATTCGAGAAACTCTTGCAAATTTTGAAAGCGAATGTGCGCCGCAAGGGGCGAGAACCACATATTGAAAACGACCCGCCTTCAATCCGTCAAACTCTTGCAACGATTGAAAACGAATGTGCGCCGCGCTGAGGCGAGAGCCACATTTTGAAAACCACCTGCCTTCCATCTGTGAAACTGCTGCCAATTTCTAAGCTTCAGAGTCATAAGTGGTGAGGAAGTCTCAGGCGAAGCGCCCGGCCCGCCCAAAAAAACTTGCTTCGGGGTGCGACAGGGAGAAGTTATGTATAAGGAAAAGGAATGGAGGAGGAGGCGGAGGAGGAGGAGGAGGAGGTGGAGGAGGAGGAGGAGGAAAAGGAGGGGGAGGCGGGGTAGGAGAGCAAGGAGAGGGGCAGGGGCAGGGTAAATAACATTGTCGTCGCCAGTCGCGTTTCCAGCCGATCCCGACCTCCAAATCAACGACATGTATCGTGCTGTGGGCGGGCGTTTGGGCATCGGTCCTCCTCCTCCTCCTCCTCCTCCTCCTCCTCCTCCTCCTCCTCCTCCCTCCTCCTCCTCCTCCTACACGTCTGAGTTTTCGTTGGCCATTTTCTCTCTCATCTGCTCTCTTCCTTTTCCTGCTATCATTTGCTCCCTCCTCCTCCTCCTCCTTTGCTCCTCCTCTTCCTCATTTTCCTCCCTCTCCTCCTCCTCCTCCTCGCTCCTCCTCCTCGCTCCTTCCCCTCGTTCCGCCTCATTCCTCCTCGTTTCTCCTCCTCCTCCTCGCATTTCCTTGTTCCTCGTCGTTTCCTCGTCCTCCTCCTCTTCCTCCTCCTCCTCCTCCTCGTTTTCATCCTCCTTCCTCATCCTCCTCCTCCTCCTCCTCTTCTCCTCCTCCTCTTCCTCCTCCTCCTCCTCCTCCTCCTCGCTCCTCCTCGTTCCTCCTCGCTTCTTTTCTCTTCCTCCTCTCCTCTGCGCCCCTCCTCCCTCCTCCTCCTCGTCCTCCTCCTTCAGTCCTTCTCCTCCCCGCTCCACCTGCGGTACTGCCGGGTGCGTGACGGATTCGCCAGAAAGGGATGGGGGTTGCCCTGGCGGCGCGGAGCTGCGGCATCGGCCCTGTCTGCAGCCGAGGCGGTCCTGGCGCCGCGCCGCCGGAGGCTGCTCTTCGGGTCGTGCGCTCGAGGTAGCTCGTCGCTTGTGCCACGTGCGCCTCGCCGCGGCTGCTTTTTCTCCTCCTCCTCCTCGTCCTCCTCTTCTCCTCCTCCTCCTCCTCCTCCTCCTCCTGTTCCATCTCGAAGAAGGAAAGCAGCAGGGTGCCATTGCCCTGGCTGCTGGGCTTGGCTCGGAGCGCCAGTGAAACCTAGTCGCATGCGCGGAGCGTTAGCGATCATTGCCCTAGTAACGTGAGCTCCTCCTCCTCCTCCTCCTTGTCCTCCTCCTCCTCCTCGTCCTCCCTCTCGGTGTTAGGAGGCCGTGAGTCTGCCTGTCTGCATCGGAGCTATGGCCATCCTGATCCCAGTCGTGGGTTGTGATCGCCGTCGGCTGCTCGCGCGTCCACTTGCCCGTCGGTGCTCACACACAGTGAGTCGTGCCATTGACGTTGCCACTATTGCGATGGGCGTCGTGCTCTAATTCTAGCACGGGCTCAGATGATGTACAGTCGGGGCACTGTTGATCCGTGTCAGGCTAAGGAACCATACGATTCAAAGTCGGCAATCTTGCACAGTATCTTTGAAAGCGACAAGAGGCTGCTAGACGAGGATATGAAGCACCTGTCCGCAGAGTCCTCCAAGCAGAAGGTCAACTCGTTCATCGCGCGTGTGAAGCTCCAGAAGGCCTTCGCGACCCTGCTGGACTACCTCCGGCAGCAGATGCCCGCCATGTGGGGCGCCGAGAAGAAGAAGCAGGAGCTGATCGCGCGGCTGCCCCACATCTATGATACAATCGACGGGGTCAACGGCATCTCAAAGGTCGGGCGACGAGTGCTGCACGCGTGCTCCGACCCTGGCCAGGCTCCCCCTGGGCCCAGCATCCGTGCAGATGCTTCCATGGCCTAGCCAGGAGGGCGTGCACTCACCGGCCCTGGGCCCACGATTCGAGGAGGGAGGGAGGACGCACGCACAAGCGGTCGGAGGTCCGCGAGGATGTCCTCGGATCGGCGCTTGTGCAGATTTGCTTCGCCAAACAGTGCCTGCACTTAGGGGTTCCCACTTCTTGTCCAAGGAGCTGAGCCTGTGCTGATGGGCCTGTTTTTCACCACCACCACCACCATAAGTTGGAGGGGGGAAAGAGGAGGAGGACGAGGAGGAGGAGGAGGACGAAGAGGAGGAGGAGGACGAAGAGGAGGAGGAGGAGGAGGAGGAGGAGGAGGAGGAGGAGGACCCCCTCCCCCTCCAACTTATGGTAGTGGTGGTGGAAAGCATGCCCATCGTGTGCGTCGGGCGGCTATGTTGTCGTCGTCGCCGCCCCGTCGCCGCCCATCGTCTGGGCCTGTGCGTCGGCTGTTCTGTTGCCCTCGCCGCCCCGTTCGCCGCAGTCGCCGCTCGTCGACGCCAGTCCATTGCACTACATATATTCTCCTTACTACAGGGAGAATAGACTCTACAGTCATCCCGCAGAGTAAGGATGGGCTACCTTCCCAAGGGTACCCTTGCATCCTTGCCTCCTCGGCCCATCCTTGGCCACTTTCGTTGGCCGCGCCCCGCTCGAATAGCTTCGAAATGGGCGTCCAAGGCCCTTGCATCCTTACGGCACATTCTTACTATATTGGATGACTCTACCCCCCATCCCCCGGGATGATCGCCCCCCCTTTTCGTATTGCAATTTACACAGGATTCTGCCCCATCGCCCATCCTAGAGATGAACTCATACCATCCCAGCCCAACCGGTATCGCCCCCCCCCGCCATCTTCTGCGAACAATACTATGCGCGCACTCGTTTATCACAAATCATCAGTTTTCAAAACACCCTTGCAACAAATTGGCCGAAGTGCGCACGCGCGCGTCGTCGCGCGCGCATGCCGAAATCCTTATAAACACATCGGAGGTTTCGCAAGGATGTCAAAATCGAGTGCCCAAAACAAATGTAAAGCACAGGGTTTCGCAACACGGTGTTTCAAACACCTTGCGCGCGCTCTTGCGAATTCTTAAGAAAACAATGGGTCTATCAACATGTTCATAACATGCTACCACAGGCTTCGCGCGCGCGCGCGTGTCGAAATCGTTCGAACGCCCTTGCGCGCGTGCTGGGGTGCACGATCCGCGTCAAATATTTCCATGCGGGCCACTCGCGCGTCGCCAGCATCGCTGCTAACATCATCGTGTTTACCGTTGTCGACGTTGCCATGATACCGCGCCCGCCCAACTCGCCGACTCGCACTGAAGTGCCAGTTTGGATGTGCCGAGCGGTCAGCGCCACCGCGTTCGCGTCGGTCGCGCCAAACTAGCTGGCCGCTGCGCGCGCGCGAGCATGCACGGGTCAGTGCGGCCGCAAATATGCACCAGCCAACACAAAGCACTCATCGCAATCGCTTCCGCATGGGTTTTGCCAACCAAGTTGCGGGTGGGTGGGTGGGATGATTGCGCGAGCAGTTGAGTCGACAACTTCAAGTTCGGCAAGGTGAATGGCACCTCATTGACTGCACCACAGATATTGCATCACATCTGCTGTTTCAGATCTCTAATAGCCTTCGGTCCATCCCGTCACCGTGCTTGCATTGTGGGTCAGCGTCCTCAGGGATGCTTCTTGGGTTCTCTTCGGAGCGCTCTCGGGGCCTCTTGGGGGCAGTTTTGGGGCCTCTTGGGAGCCTCGTGGGGGCCTCTTGGGAGCCTCTAGGGGCCCCCTCGGGGCTTCCTGTGGGCCTCCTTGTGGCCTCTTGGGGCCTCTTGCGGATCTTGGGGGCATCTTGGGAACCTCGTGGGGGCCCCTGGAAAGCTTCTCGGGGCCACGGGCTCGAAATTCAGATTCGGGTCCCCCGTCTGGGCCCCCTCTTGGAGCCGTCTTGGCGGTCTCTTGGGCTGTCTTGGAGGCGTCTTGCTCCGTCTGGGGGTCCCCTTTGGCCGTTTTGCGGCCCTCTTGGAGGCCGCTTGGGTCGTTTGGGGGCAATCTTGGGGGCCTCTTGGGCCGTCTTGGAGCATCAGGAAGCCGAAGCGGCGAGAACGCGCAAATCCTTCAAACACCTCAGGTTCGCCTCTTGGGGCCCTCCTAGGAGGCCTCCTGGGGGCGTCTCGAGGGCATCTCAGGCCGTCTGGAGACCATATTGGGCATCCTGGAGCGCTCCTTCGGCGACTCGGGGCCCCCTCGGATTGTCTCTGGGGCCTCTTGGGAACCTCTCGGCCCGTCTTGGGGCCCGTCTTGGGGCCCGACAGACGTCGCGCGAGAAGCCGCGGGGAGCCCCCGTGGCCACGCGGCGCGCCGCAGAAGGTCTGGCAATTGTGGGCCCGGGCTCTGTAAAGTATCCTCTTGCCTGGCATCGCTCGGACGTGTGCGTTTTTTTCCTCGGCGAGGACCATCGAGGAGCATCCTTAACTATTTGGCGCAAAAGCCACGCACGAAACCGAAAAAAACACAAACAAAGGGACGTCCGAGCGATGGCGAGCTTGGGGCCCTCCTGGGGCGCCTCTTAGAACACTCGTGGAGCGTCTGGGGGGCCTCCTGGGTCGTGCTGAGGCCATATCTTGGGCGTATTGGGGGCAATCCTTCGGCGGCTCGGGGCCCTCGTAGGGGCCGTCTGGAGGGACTCCTGGGGCCCTCCTGGGCCCGTCTTGGGGCCCCCCCTTAAGGGCCCGAAGAGTCATGTGACAACGCTTCCCGGAGCCCCGGGGGGCACGCGCCAGGCCCCGGGAGGCTCGAGGATCTGTGGCCCGGGGCCCCGAGAGTCTCTTCGGGGGTGAGGACTGAGGCGGCAGGGGCTCCAAAGGTCGGGGGTGGACAGAACCCCCAACAGTGACAAGTCGATTAGTGAATTGTCCGTTTTCGGTTCTCGAGAGGGCGCCGTGGCCGTTATTTTCCAGGCTTGCGCCCGCCAGGTTTGGGCCTCAGGTCGTTTTCATTAAACCACGTTTTACTAAAGGGGGGTCTGTCCATCCCCGATCTTCGGGAGTGAGGACTGAGGCGGCAGGGGCTCCAAAAGGGGGCACTCCAGCTCGTGCTTCAAGGGCACGGCTGGCGGAGATTGCGCAACATTAATTTGTATCACATGGATTGCCTTACACAGATTGCACCACACATATCGAAGATGTTTACGGCGAATCGCCGCCGCCCCCTGCCTTTCAGGATATGCCTACGAGGCCAAACGTTTGGTCAAAGCGTGGCCACGCTATTGGACCATGCGTTCCCCCAGCTGTTGTGGAAGCCCTTCGGGGAATACATGGGGGAGGAAGAGGAGGACGAGGAGGAGAGGGAGGAAGCAGGAGAAAAAGGCTAGAGGCAGGAGGAGGCCTCTCTGGAGCTTCCAGGCCCACTCTTTGGGCCTCCTGGGAACTTCTGGGAGTCTTTTGGAGGTCCTTGGGAGCCTCCTTGGGCCTCTTCTCTTGGGGGCCTTTGGGGGCTTCTTGGGGGCTTATTACCTAACAGCGAAGACTGATAGGTTTCTAGTGGGGTCAAAAGAGCTCACAGATCACTCCACAGGGGGGTCCGGGCAGGTGTTGGGAGTTGCCGGGCGGGCTGTGCCCACCTCGTTTTTCACCAACAGTCACACACTTCGTGCTCTTCGACTTCCCAGAACTCCATTCCCAGGCCACATTCTGGAGGGCCGGATGCAACTGTAGGCCACTTCGTGCTCTTCGAGTTCCCAGAACTCCATTCCCGGGCCACATTTTGGATGCCCGGAGCCAACTGTAGGCCACTTCGTGCTCTTCGAGTTCCCAGAACTCCATTCCCGGGCCACATTTTGGATGCCCGGAGCCAACTGTAGGCCACTTCGTGCTCTTCGAGTTCCCAGAACTCCATTCCCGGGCCACATTTTGAATGCCCGGAGCCAACTGTAGGCCACTTCGTGCTCTTCGAGTTCCCAGAACTCCATTCCCGGGCCACATTTTGAATGCCCGGAGCCAACTGTAGGCCACTTCGTGCTCTTCGAGTTCCCAGAACTCCATTCCCGGGCCACATTTTGAATGCCCGTAGCCAACTGTAGGCAACTTCGTGCTCTTCGACTTCCCAGAACTCCCATTCCTGGGCCACATTTTCAGCAGGGGCAAGAGCACGACGAGGAGGAGGACGAGCAAGACCAGGAGGACGAGGACGAGCAGGAGCAGGACGAGGAGCAGGAGGAGCAGGAGAAGAAGGACGAGCAGGAGGAGGAGGAGGACGAGCAGGAGGAGGAGGACGACCAGGAGGAGGAGGACGACCAGGAAGAGGAGGAGGAGGAGGAGGAGGGGAGGGGGAGGAGTACCAGGAGGAGGAGGAGGAGGAGGAGGAGGAGGAGGAGGAAGAGGAGGAGGAGGAGGAGGAGGACGAGGACGAGGAGGAGGAGGAGGAGGGGGGGGGAGAGTACCAGGAGGAGGAGAACGAGGACCACCAGGAGGAGGAGGAGGAGGAGGAGGAGGAGGAGGAGGAGAGAACACCAGGAGGAGGAGGACGAGCAAGACGAGGAGGACGAGAACGAGGACGACCAGGAAGGAGGAGGAGGAGGAGGAGGAGGGGAGGGGGAGGACTACCAGGAGGAGGAGGAGAGGAGGAGGAGGAAGAGGAGGAGGAGGACGAGGAGGAGGAGGAGGAGGAGGACGAGGAGGAGGAGGGGGGGGGAGAGCACCAGGAGGAGGAGAACGAGGACCACCAGGAGGAGGAGGAGGAGGAGGAGGAGGAGGAGGAGGAGGAGGAGAGAGCACCAGGAGGAGGAGGACGAGCAAGACGAGGAGGACGAGAACGAGGACGAGCAGGAGGAAGAGGAGGAGGAGGAGGAGGAGGAGGAGGAGGAGGAGGAGGAGGAGGAGGAGCAGGAGAAAGAGGAGGAGGGAGGAGGAGGCAGGCT